GCCATGCAGCGAACGGGGGCGGGCGGGCGTCGCCGCCGCTGTGAAGATGACAGCGCGGTAAGATCAGTCACGGAGGTCATGAGAGGATGTCAGCGCTCAAGTGGTTTCGAGCGCGTCAATCGTGCAATGCTCAACATAAATCATACCATAATACTGTATATGATATTTTAGGTCATGTCAATACAAGTCAAGGGGGCAGGTAGGGTCATGTCCACTGTATTGACTCAAGAGCCAAAGGGTGACTTGCCATTCAAACGTCACGAATAGTCCTGCTGATTACTCACTGTGCTCCCACACATGCATGCAGGACAAGAAACGTGTTGCATGCTATTGGTTACATATGTTGCCTCCTTGAACGGTTCAACCTCGTTTTGACCTGCGTCCCTGCATTACATGTTGCATCAAAGCTCAAACAACAGTTGGGCGGACTGTGAATCATACAAGGAAAGGGCGGATGCACGCATTCCTCAGGATTGGCGTGTGCGCATCGTAATTAATGGTGTTCAATCTGGGCAACCATCAGCAAATACGTGTTTCAAGCATCAACGCCGCCATGGCAGCCCATTTGGGAAGCCGCCAACCAATGCGATTGTCCCAAAAATGAGGGTGAAGCTGCATACTGCAATCAGCACCAACAACAGCCCAAACGCCACGCCCTTGTTCACGCCCAGCCGCCGCTGCGTGGCTTCCAAAAACCCGTTGAGAAGCGGCGCCGCCGCGAGCGCCATCGATAGGCGGATGGGGCGCATGAACGAGGCTCCAACCCACAGGCCGGCGTATATCGCCAGGAACTGGCCCCATTGCCCCTCCAAAGGGGAAACCCCGCTGCGCCGCACAACTGTCAGCCAAGCCATCGTCATGAGAACGCCCGCGTTGAGGTTTGATATGATGCCTGCGCAGCGCGGTCGGGGCGGCACGGGGGCGTGTTGGTCTTGCACAGTTGCGTAGTGTTGAAACCAGGTCGGAGCCGAGCCCAAGGCTTGTCGCACAGCTGCTCCGAGCGGTTTATTGCAGAAGCCGCCCTCGCGGCAACCAGGGGCCCAGCGCGGCCGCCGCCCGCATCGCCGGCATACATGCAAGCGCCTGTTAGCTGCTGCTGCGCCCATGCTCGCTGTGTCCGAGACAGTCAGCCACGCAGCCAGCAACCCACCATACGCCGCGAACGCCCCCAGGCCGTACTCTGCAAGCTTCTGCTTGTCCACCTTGCCGGCCTGCAGCCACCCCTTGATACGCGCACCAAGCCCTGGCGCTGCCTCGGCCCCTCCAGCTCTGCCATCGTCACCGCCGCCGCCGCTGGTGTTGCTGCTGCTTGCGTCAGCTCCGTCCCCGCCTGCTGCAGCCGCAGACGCATTGATACAGAAACGATCCCTTTTTATAATCGACCGGCACAGAGGGCCATTTGCTTTTATAGGCGAGGCGATTCGAGCTTGGCCGAGCGCCGGGGAGCGCATGGTTGACTGCATCGACTGAAAATGGAGGATTACATCAATATTGTCGGAAAACATGGTCACGGGCTACAACGGCGAGGCTCACAACCTGTCACCTGCGCAGTCACCTTGCTCGTGCTGCTGGGCAGGCTTGGAGTGTGATCACCCTGGCGCTGGGTGAGGGCGTGTATGCATTCACACTCGGTGCATGTTGAGACCATCAGCTTTTGCTTACCTCTTGAGCCTGTCCTCGCTTCAGGAGGATATGGGACGGGCGACACGGGTCTGGTGTGGCCCGGCACGGAGCCCAGCGGGTTGGGCGCATCAGGCGGTGGGCCGCACGCCTACCTGCTGCGCGCGTGCCCATCAAATCAGGTGGCGTGAGACTTTGGGACTGAATGGGCAGCAGGAAAGGGAAATTTTATGGTGCCGAACGGGAAGCAAGGGAGGGGGGTCAACCTGAGCATGTGATGAGCGCGCGCGTCACCTAGGGGGTTGCGCCGGGGGAGAAGGAAGCGCTGCAGGCAGGCCACAAGAATGAGGTGGGTGCTCAAGGAGCGGCGGGGCGTCGTGCGGAGTGCGCGGCGCGCCGCGCGGTGCGGGGTAGGGAAGGGGGCGATGCAAATGTTTGCGGGCGGGGTGTGGGGACGGCGCGCTCAGAGTCAGCCAAGGGGGCTGCCGACCGGCAGGGATCAAAGCATGCAGCACGGCATTGCGTTCTGATGAAGACCTATGTGTTGCCCCGGCACACAATTGTCTGGTTGTTTTGCCCGGAAAACATCCTGTGTGCGCAATCCCCGGTTGCCAGCAGGATGAGTGGCCGATTGCACACAGGGGCTCGAGTGATGGTGTCATGTGAAGCCAAGCGCGGGTGTTGCTGGCCGCGGGGGACTGGACGGAGGGCAACCGTTGGCCAACCGGCCTTGCCAGCAAGGATGATACTATGATTGGGATTATCTTGACTCATAGCAACTGCCCTGTCCATTTGGCACAAGCAGCCTCCGTACGCACTGCGCACGTTGCCACTGACACACCCCTAGCTTGGCGATTGCGGGGTCTACACGGTGCGGTGCTTCAATGCCCTGCCCCACCACCCGGACCACTGCATGTGACTGGGGCCCCAACGCCGGCTCTTGCTTTTTCCTGTAAGCTCTTCAGCTCAGGAGTTGGATTATGACCGCATCTTCATCTGTCGCATGCATTGCGCCTCACAACCATCTACACACAGCAGCTTGCTCTTGTCGGAGGAGGGCCGAGGTGTTCCTTGCAGGCGGGCTGGCCTACGCATAGAAGCCAGTATTGATCGCCACCAAGCGTTTATAACACACCTATATGGAGCCCTCCTGACGAAGGGCCCCTCCTCGAACGCGATTGGCTGGCTGCGGCCATTGCGGTCAGTGCGGCGAAAGAGGCCTCCCTAACACATCAGAAGCTCGCGAGCAATCATGTCGCCTCACGAGGACAAGTCTGGCGGCGCCTATGAGCCTCTGCCCGACGTTGAGCAGGGCGACGCAGCAGAGCCCGGCGTTGCAGCGCCGCACGCAAGGCGCCCGCTCTCGCTGCTGCCGCTCATCGCACTCATCTTCTTTGAGGTGTCTGGCGGGCCCTTTGGCACAGAGGTGGGCGACGCGCGAGGGCACGCGCGCGTCATCCGCCTCCATGAGTCACTTGACCGCCCACATGGGCGCGCGCCTCGTCGCAGCGGTGCGCATGTGCGGCGGCCGCACGTCTGAGCACGCGCCTGCCGCCTTGCTTCAACCAACCCTCTCCATGAGTGGCGGCCAGTCCACGCACCTGTTCGGTATCGCCGCGACGTGCTGCACCCCTCCCTACTCTCCCGCCGCGCGAGGGCCGCTCCTCCCGCCTGTGCGCGTCTCCCCCCCTCCCTGCTTCCCCAGGACGCCGTCGCCGCCGCCGGCCCGCTCCTTGTCATCCTCGGATTCATCGTCTTCCCCCTCATCTGGTCCGTCCCCGAGGCGCTCATCACCGCGGAGCTCGCGACCGCGTTTCCCGAGAACAGCGGGTACGTCGCCTGGGTGTCGGCCGCTTTCGGGCCGTTCTGGGGCTTCCAGGAGGGCTGGTGGTCCTGGCTCAGCGGCGTCACCGACAACAGCATCTACCCCGTCATGCTGGCCGACAACCTGCGGCTGTTCTTCCCGGCGCTGTCGGGCGGGTGGCAGAGGTGTGCGGAAAACGGGCCGGGGGCTGCGCGGGGCGGGCTTGGGCGGGGGCCGCGTCTGCGGGGGCGGCCGGCGGCGCCACGGGCCCGGCTGCGGCTGCGGGTGGAGGGGCGGTCATGGCAGCAGCAGGGCAGGTTGTGCAGTCGCGGAGCGCGAGGGGCGGCAGGCGATGGTGTTGCGAGTGGCACGCTGCTCTTGTCAGATGGCAGGGTGCGGGCCGGAGTGATATGCTACAGCCCCCCTCACCCTGCGCCGAGGTCTGACGCCGCGCGTGCTGGCGCCTGTGCTGCAGGGTCGCGTTTGTGGTGTGCTTGTCCGTTGCGCTCACTTACATGAACTACCGGGGCCTGCAGGTGCGCCGAGGCTGCATTGGATCTTTGCACCTTGAGCTGGGTCGGGTGCATTGGCTGGTGCCACACTGTACGGCTGACACACACATCCAGCGTACTGCAGAACTGCAGTTGGCGCTGCATCACCTTGCGCTTTGCCCTTGATCTCCCGTTGCAGACCCAATTGGCTGCCTGCCACCATCCAGTCCTTTCCTGTCCGGGCCCACATGCGGTCGCTTTGCTCCGCATCGTTGCCCACCTGGCGTTACGTCCCACCCGCCAATCAAGCGGCGCAGTGATCCTGCCTCGCTCCCTAAATGACCACACCCCCTCCACACACACACACACACACACACACACACACACACACACACGCGCGCAAACTCAACACACGAGCAGGTTGTCGGCAACGCGGCCCTCACCACGACGCTCTTCATCATAGCCCCCTTCGTCCTGCTCTGCGCCTTCGCCGCGCCGCGTGTCGACCCCTCCAACTGGCTCAAGGTCGACCTGCCGTCCGTGCAGTGGGGGACGTTCCTGAATATCATGTTTTGGAACCTCAACTACTGGGACTCGGTGTCGTGCTTGGCTGGGGAGGTGCGCCGGGGCCGCGCTGGGCCGGGGCTTGCGCAGCGTCGGGGCTGTGACGACGCAGCGTGGGCGCTGCTGCGCGTGCTGGGGCTCTGATGCGCCAATGGGTTTTGCTGCGCCGGGGCCCAGCTGTGTGTGCATGCTTTGCTGTGTAGGGTGGGGCTCGGGGTGCAGGGGGAGGGGCGGCTTGTGGGGTTTGGCCGCGGCACCCCCGATTGCACCTAAGTGTGCGGGCCTGGGCGTGCCGAGGTGCTCATCAGAGGCTGATTCGCGCTGTCTTGTCGCATCTTCAATATGAGTGCTTTCCTCCCACAACATGTAGGCCGCCCTCCACAACTTGTTGCATCCTGTGCCAGCCTCGCCGCCGCCGCAGCAACCCGCGCCCACCCCAAGCGCCCCACCCCACCCCAACACACATGCACGTGCGCGCCCGCACCCGGCCGTCGGCCCCGCCACAGGTCGACAAGCCGCACAAGACCTTCCCGCGTGCCCTGATGTGGGCCGTGCTGCTGGTGGTGCTGTCCTACCTGCTGCCCACGATGGCGGCCCTGGGCATCATGGCGGAGGCGGGGGACTGGGAGCTCGGGTACTACGGCAAGGTGGCGCAGCAGGTGGGGGCCCTGGCTGCTGGCTTTGTTTTATTGTCTCGTCTCGTTTGAAGCTTGTCTCGTTTCGGCTGAACAGGGGATGTGCTTCGACGCTGTTGTTGCGGTGTGCGCGGCAGTGGTCAGCACACGCATGTGTGCAGGTGTATGCAGCCCAGGGTGTTGCGGGTTTGAACCTTGGTGTGCGTAGGGGCCGTGGCGCGGCAGTTTCTCAACGCGCCCGCTTGCGACGTTTTGGGTGGGCGCGCGCATGCACCTGTGGGGTTGCACGCCAAATCGGGACTCTTGATGCGCGCGCGCGGGGCACAGGGAGGGTTTTCTTTCGCATGCGCCTCAAGGCATGGCGGGCCTCGCACGGCTGCGGCGCAGCCTTCTTTTCTCCCGATACACCCCTGTCCCCAATTCTAAGGGTGGATAAGCCACAGTCACCTCAGGGGGGGCGATGTCCTCAGCTTCACGGCCGCTCTTCCCAACCCTTTTTGTACCCGGCAGGTCGCCGGCAACTGGCTGGCGTGGTGGGTCGTGCTGGCCGCGGCCGCCTCGCAGATCGGCCAGTTCCAGGCCGAGATGAGCTCGGACTCGTACCAGCTGCAGGGCATGGCCGAGCGCGGGTTCCTGCCAAAGGCCCTCGCGCGCCGCAGCCGCCACGGGACGCCCACCGTGGGCATCCTGCTGTCGTCGATCGGCGTGTGCTGCCTGTCGAGCTTCGACTTTGTGTCGATCGTGGAGCTGCTCAACGCGATCTACTGCATGGCGGAGCTGCTGGAGTTTGCGGCGTTTGTCGCGCTGCGCGTCACCGCACCAAACCTGCCGCGGCCGTACAGGCAGGTTTCCTTTTGCCGGGGGCGCCGCTTATTGGGGCTTTTCACCGCTTGTCTGGGGCTCGCGGGCCGGGGCTGATTTGCATCATGAGATCGAAGCAGATTTGCGGTGAGCGGCCGCGGGGTCAGGGGAATTCAGCCGAGCGGCCTGTGGGCGGCATCCGAGGCTTGTTGCCTGAACAGCGCGGGTCTTTTGTCGATGAGCCCCAGCCAGGTGTCGAGAGGCGGGCGTGTGCTGCTTTGCATATCCCCTCCCCCCCCCCTTCCACAGGGTGCCGCTGCCTGTGTGGGGCCTCGTGCTGATGCTGCTGCCGGCCACCATCCTGCTGGCCGCCGTGCTCGTGCTCCCCGTCTTCACCCGCGACTGGACGACCGTCGCCGCGACGGGCGGCGCGCTGCTGTCGGGCTTCGCGCTGTACCCGCTGCTGCAGTGGCTCAAGGAGTCGCGCCTTGTCGACTTCGGCGACCTCGAGTTCGAGTTCGCCCACGTCCTCGCCGCGCGCCGCCGCGGCCGCCGCGGCCGCCGCGCCC